GCAGATGCAGGAAGGAAGAATGCCCCCCATCCATCACCTCTGCTGCAGTCACTGTACCCAACTGAGTGCATCCCTGCACAGCCCAACTAAAGTGGGCAGAAATTACTTTGAAGGTTCCCCAGCTCCAGGACAGCAGGAAAAGCAGTGGCAGCAGGTGGGTGAGAGGGGAAGGAGAGGGATTCTTCCTCCTTTGGGGACTTTAAAAAAGTCCCCAGAGGTTCCCATGGTACTGTCCAATTAAAAGGGGAGGTGCAGCCGTGCCACTGCACCCCCTCTGGATCTGCCCCCGTTATCCAAAACAGCTGGATTAAAGCTACCCTGTGCCTGCATACCCATGTTGTAATCACACATCCCAATTTGCAGTGTAGCTGTATGCTCACTTCTCTCTTCTGTCACTTGTTGATGCCACAGCTTCTCCTAATTTGAACTATGCTTTGCATTTGCCTATTTTCACTCCTAGTTTATGGTCATTGTTCCTGTGTAGTTGGTGACAACCTGCCTTACCTTCATTGTTCACTTCATTGTTCTCCTTCAGATCCTTCCTTCAAACTCTTCTTTGCTTAATTGACTACAGTTTGACTACTCAAACCACTGCCTGTCAGACTGACCACTATTATCTCATTTTTTGTTTTGTGTGCCTGTCTGTCTGTATCCATCCGTTGTTTCTTATCTTTGCTCTGGGGCAGGGGTTGTCAATCAGGGGTATGCATAGGACTATCCCTGGGAAAATCCTAGAAAAAATTATCAAGGAACACATCTGTGGGAGCCCGCTGGCTAATGTGAAGTGGAGGGGTAACCAACATGGGTTTATAGCAGGCAGGTCCTGCCTGACTAACCTAGTTTCTTTTTATGACAAGGCCACCAAATGTTTAGAAGCAGGAGTCGAGGTGGATGTTATCTACCTGGACTTCAAGAAGGCCTTTGACACGGTATCCCATACCATCCTTATTAATAAACTGAGGAGATTTGCCTTGGATGATTATATGGTAGACTGGGTAGCAAACTGGCTCAAGGGTCACACTCAGAGAGTGGTGGTGGATGGGTCACTGTCAACCTGGAAAGGTGTGTGCAATGGAGTCCCTCAGGGCTCAGTTCTGGGGCTGATGCTGTTCAACATCTTCATCAGTGATCTGGACGAGGGGGTGGGAAGCACCCTGTCCAAATTCACGGATGACACAAAAATATGGAGTGAAGCTAACACCCTGGAGAGGAGGAACCAGATCCAGGCTGACCATGACAGGCTGGGGAAGTGGGCAGAGAACAACAGGATGCAATTCAATAAGGACAAGTGCAAGGTGCTGCCTCTAGGGAGAAAGAACTGCCGTCATACCTATAGGCTGGGGGGCAACCTTCTCAGCACCACTGAGGCAGAAAGAGATCTTGGAGTCACTGTTGACTCCAGGATGAACATGAGTCATCAATGTGATGAAGTAGTCCGCAGAGCCAATCACACCTTGTCGTGCACCCCTAGGTGCTTCACAAACAGGTCCAGGGAGGTGATTCTCTCTCTCTACGTGGCACTGGTCAGGCTGCAGCTGGAATACTGTGTCCAGTTCTGGACACCGCAGTTCAAGTGGTATGCGGACAACCTGGAGAGGGTCCAAAGAAGAGCCACTTGTCTGATTAGAGGCCAGCAGGGAAGGCTCTATGAGGAAAGGCTAAGTGATCTTAACCTCTTCAGGCTCTCCAAGAGAAGCTGAGAGGGGACCTTGTTGTGGTGTACAAATTCATAAGGGGAGAGCAACATGAAGTATGCGATGATGTGTTTACCAGGGGACCCCCTGGAACAACAAGGAACAATGGCCATAAGCTACTGGAGAGTAGGTTTAGACTGGACATTAGAAAAATTTCTTCACTGTCAGGGTTGCCAGGATCTGAAATGGGCTCCCATGGGAGGTGGTGCTCACCCCATCCTTGGGGGTCTTCAAGAGGAGACTGGATAGGCACCTGGCTGGGTTCACATGACCCCAGGTTTGGTGACCCTTTTCTTGCCTGCCAGGGACAGGGGGTCAGACTAGGTGGGCCACTGAGTTCCCTTCCAACCCTGGAATCTATGAATCTATACCCCCAGGGGTACTTGGGCAAGCCCTAGGGGGTATGCATGGGTGGGCAGGGGACAGAGTGGGGAGCAGGAGCGAGGGGAGCAGGGTGCACGTGTGCTGACAAGAGGGGAGCTCCCCAGCCTGTATGTATGGTGCTGATTGTTCCTCCCCAGGTGCATCACCTGACACTTGTCGGTGTTGAAACCCATGTTGTTCTCATCCGCCCACCCCTGTAACCTATCTAGGTCCGATTGTAGCCTATTCCTTCC